CGGGCCCCCCCCCCCGGGGTCCTTGGGTCCCGCAGCAGCAGCAGCAGCAGCAGCAACAGCAGCATGTCCTCTCCGTTACACTTTCCTTTTAGGAAACAGTTATATAATGAGTCGTTAGCTATTCATTTTGCGTAGACAGTAGCTGTAGTAGGCAGAAGCAGCAGCAGCTGCAGCAGCAGCAACACCAGCAGCAGCGGCAGCAGCAGCAACACAGACACCGGAGCGAACTGGTATACCCTGTAGAGGACAGAGACGCCATGAGAATAGTTTGCTGCTCTTTCTGCTGCAGCGGCAAAACAGCAGCAACTCATTGCCATCAATTTAGCAGCAATAAAGTGACGAAGAGTCAATGAGTCCACGCGAGCAGCAGCAGCTGCTGCAGCAGCAGCAACACCAGCAGTCGCAGCTGCTGCAGCCATTGCGACACTCGCGAAGGGAAGGTAGACCTAGAAAACGCAGAAGCAGAGCCAGAAGCAGCTACAGCAGCTGCAGCAACAGCAACAGCAGCAGCAGCAGCAGCAGCAAAGACCACTCGCGCTGGCGCTCGTGTCACTCATGGTCCGGCAATGTAGAAGCAGCAGCAGCAGCAGCAGCAGCAGCGGAGACAGCAGCAGCAGCAACAGCAGCACGCGAAATCTGTTCTCTCATTGAAGGTACCCGCTGCTATTCAAAGTACAAATGCAGCAACAGCAACACCTGCTGCTGCGGTTGCTGCAGCACCGGCAGCAGCAGCAGCAGCAGCAGCAGGATCAGGGCATTTGCTGCCGGATTATCTTTCTCTAAGGGGGGATTTAAGGCTAGCTGCTGGCGGCTGCCTCTGTATTTGCTGCTGCTGCGCTGCTGCTGCATCACTAGGCCTATGTTATTAATTTTGGCGCTGCTAAGGAGTAGGCAGCTGCTGCAGCAGCAAGCAGCAGCAGCAAGGCAGCAGAGGCGCAACAGAACTACCAGTAAAGGACCGTCGCAGCAGCAGCAGCAACAACAGCAGCAGCAACTGCAGCAGCTGCTGTTACTGCAAGCAGCTGCTCCTAAAGTGAGGGACGACGGCTGCAACACCAACAGCAGCTGTAGCAGCAGCAGCAGCAGCAGTAGTAGTAGTAGCAGCAGCAGTAGCAGCAGCAGCAGCAACTTCTGCTGCTGCAGCTGGCTGCAGCAGCGTGTCTTAGAAGTGCTGCAGTACTCTCGTCATATAAAAGAAGTAAATAAACAAAAAATACCTGAGGGTCTGCTGCTGCTGCTGCTGCTGCGTCCTCTTCCTCAAGAAGGTAACCAGCAGCAGCAGCAACAGCAGCAGCAGCAGCAGCAGCAGGCATGGGCAGCAGAGGATCTACTATATCTAGATACAGACACCTTTGTCTGTAAGCTGCTGCTGCTGCTGCTGGGGAGACTGCCACACGATGAGTCTCCGCTGTTCCTTGCTGCTGCTGCACAGCAGCAGCAGCAGCAGCAAAAGCAGCAAAAGTTGGACGAAGAGCAGCAGCAAAAGCAGCAGCACGACTACGCACCCAACAAACGACAACAGGAGCAGCACCAGCAGCAGCAGCAGCAGCAGCAGCAGCACGATGATGGGACTCTATTAAGGCTACCTTGGTGGATAGAGGCGCAGCTGCTGCGCGGCAGCAACGAGGAGCAGCAAATAGAGAAAGATGTGCAGCGCTCCTTTACTACATGGAGACTAAGCAGCAGCAGCAGCAGCAGCAGCAGCAGCAGCGGCAGCAGCAGTGATAGCAGCAGCAGCAGCAATGGGGAAAGACGCAGCAGCATAGGCAGCTTCCTTAGCTTATCTGAAGGCCCGCCAAGGTCCCGCAGCAGGTGCAGCAGCAGACGCAGCAGCAGCAGACGCAGCAGCAGCAGACGCAGCAGCAACTGCAGCAGCAGCAGCAGCAGAAAAGAGGATATAGATAGACTGCGTGGTGCGCTGCGTCTGCTGCTGCTGGGTCTGCTGTCTAGGCACCTGCCTGTCCTGGTGTATGCACAGGGCATGCATGATCTTGCTGCTGCGCTGCTGCTGATTGCTGCTGAGGCAATGCAGCAGCTTCTGGCAGCAGCTGAGGTGTATAGGCAGCTCGCTATACAAGGAATTCGCTGCAGCAACAGCAGCAGCAGCAGCAAACAGCAAATACACACCAATCACTGGTTCGAAGCCCAGTACAGCAGCAGCAGCTGCTGCACTACATGCAGCAGCAGCAGCAGCAGCAGCAGCAGGGAGAAGGAAGACGATTCACTTGCAATGCTTCCTTGTTGTTGCAAGTTGCACCAATGTCTTACTACTAATCCATCTGCTGCTGCTGCTGCTGCACCTACAGCAGCAGCAACAGCAGCAACAGCAGCAGCAGCAGCAGCAGCACTAGATGTCTCCTCTGGTGTCTCCTTTTGCTGCTGCTATTTATCCTTTATTATTAATGATAGAGTTTGTCTGTATAATATAATAGATTATCTTGCTGCTGCCTTTGATGTCTCCTTGCTGCCTGTGCTGCAGTTGCTGTCTTTGCTGCTGCAGCAGAGGGACCCTGAGCTTGCTGCTCTGCTGCAGTTATTCTCTGCTGCTGCTGCACATACACCCGGAGGAGAGCTACTCCCTTGTGTCTCTTGGCTTATTACTTTCTTTACTCATAGCAGCAAGACACCGCATGCAGCAGCAAGATGTCTAGATGTCCTGCTGCATATACACCCGCACTTCCTGCTGCACTTTGCTGCTGCTGCTGTTCTCTTACAACGTAAACGTTTATTTGCTGTCTGCAGCAAAGCAATGATGCATGCAGCAGCAGCACAGCATCTACAACGGGCCCTGCAGCAGCACCAACAGCAGCAGCAGGACGGGGAGGGGAAGCAGCAGCAGCAGCAGCAGCAGCAGCAGGAGGGGGAGGAGGAAAGGCTAGATCTAGAGGCGTTGTGTAGAGCAGCAGCAGAGCAGCCGCTGCTGCTGCAGCAGTATAGGAGCTATATAGGGGATGCGGTGTATGGGGAGGTGCATGCAGTGCTGCAGCAGATACAGCTGGATAATCTGCCCCTGGAGTTGCTGCTAGCGCATGCATGCGAAGGTCTGCTGCAGCACGTACCACCGCAGCAGCTCCTTGCTGCTGCTGCTGCTGATGGTGTGCAGCTGCTGCCCTTCTCTCCTCTTCTTATGCAAAGTTCTTTGCCTCCAGAGATACCTGTAGCAGCAATAGCAGCAGCAACAGAACCAGCAGCAGCAGCAGCTGCAGCACTGAAGGCACCGGAGCAACAAGAATCAACAACAGCAGAAGCAGCAGAAGCAACAGAAGCAGCAGCAGCAGCAGCAGCAGTGTCTCCTTGCTGCAGCTGCGTAGGCATGTCTTATCTGTCTCCTTTCTTTAGTGTTGTTGGCTGCCGCATGCCTTCTGTTGCTGCTGCTTATAGAAATCTCTGGCGGCCTGCTGCTGCTGCTCCTGCTGCAGCAGCAGCAGCTGCTGCTGCTGCTGCGCAGAAGGGACAGCAGCGAGCGTTTGTCACAGCAAGAGAAGCAGCAGAATCCTGGATTAGGGCCCTAGGCGGTGGCGCAGCAGCTGCAGAGCAGCAGCAGCAGCAGCAGCAGCAGCAGCAACAGCAGCAGCAGCAGCCGCAGCCGCAGAGGTCTTTGTTGTATGCAGTAGAAGCAATTGCAGCAGCAAGCAGCGAAGGGTATCCTTGCTGCTGCTGCTTTAACAGCAGCACGAGCTGCAGCACAGGAGGCAGCAGTGCTGCTGCTGCTAATAATAATAATAATGTACAGCGCAGCAGCTGCTGCCCTGAGGTGTATAGGCACCTCCCTGTGTTAGCTGCTGATAGTGTGGGGTGGCGGCAGCCGCTGCCTTCTTTGTTTATTTCCCTTGATAGTTATTTGCATGCAAAGACGCGTGCTGCTGCTGCTGCTGCTGCAGCAGCAGCAGCAGCAGGTGGTGTGTTCTTTCCTTTGCGTCTACTGCAGCAGCTGCAGCATACGGATGCAGCAGCACTGTTACGGTGTACATACACCGCAGCTCTTGCCCTTGTTAGACCTAGTGGCCTCTTCTTCCCTGCATGCACTGCTGCTGTTGTTTGTCTCGCGCTGCTGCTGCAGTGGTTTAGTGATAAACCCCGAGGCTTATTCATACACCTTAACTGGATCAGTCCTTAATTTTTTTTTTAGGGTCTAGGGTTTAGGGTTTAGGGTTTAGGGTTTAGGGTTTAGGGTTTACGGTTGAGACGAGAGGGAATGAGGGGTCACCAAGGTATCGGGTTTAAAGGTTTGTGAGGAGAAGGATTAGGGTTTACGTAATTAGGGTTTAGGGTTTATATAATTAGGGTTTAGGGTTTAGGGTTTAGGAGTATAAGAAGAGAAAGGGTATACAGAAAAACAGGACAGAGGCAAACCCTAATCTATACCCTCATACAAAACCCTTAACGGGGGGAAGAGGGGCCCCCCAACGTGGTGGGGCCCCCCTGCGAGCCCTCTAAGGAGAAGGGCCCCCCCCCCCCT